TGATATCAGATTAACTCATTAACCATCCCCCCAGATCATCTTCTACGAGGACAAGAACTTCCAGGGTCACTCCTATGAGTGCAGCAGCGAATGCTCTGACCTGCATTCCCACTTCAGCCGCTGCAACTCCATTAGAGTGGACAGCGGTGATTGGATGGTCTATGAGAGACCCAACTACATGGGCTACCAGTACTTCCTGAGGAGGGGCGACTATCCAGACTACCAGCGCTGGATGGGATTCAACGACTGTGTGCGATCCTGCCGTATGATTCCTGTGGTAAGCCTCAGTCGGTTCCAGCAGGCATCACCTTACAATAGGTGTCTTTTGATCATCCTTCACTGCTCTAGAGGTTAATAGATCGCCTTGTCTTTTCTGCAGCACCAAGGCTCTCACAAAATGATGATTTACGAACGCCCAGAGTTTGGAGGCCAAATGATGGAGCTGACCGATGACTGCCCTTCCCTGCATGAACGCTTCCATTGGAACGACATCTACTCCTGCAACGTGATGGACGGTTACTGGATCTTCTACGAGCATCCCAATTACAGGGGACGACAGTACCTGATGCGCCCTGGTGAATACAGGAGGTTTAATGATTGGGGAGGCATGAGTTCTAGGGTGGGATCCATCAAACGTATCACTATGTGAGAAAAGCTGATGTCCAGACACTGTTTATGTGAAGTTCTGTCAATAAATCTATCCAATAAACACTTTTGTTAACAGCTTCTTTTGTGTTCTTGAGGCTGTTTGAGTTGAAATGTTTGCAGGGTGACAAATTGGATCTCATTGCTTGAGTTTTTAAGTGGAGTAAGCAGCAAGAGTTCAAACAATTGTTAGCTGATACTACGATTTCATGATGCATGATGGCAACACACCGTTTTCATGTTTTAGATACAGAGACACACATCCATACAGTTTAAGCCCAGCATGTTTATTGAGAACAGAGAGAGGAAGAAGATTTGGAAGACTTCTAGTTAAAGTCAGTGATTCGCCTGAGCGAGCCGATCCTTGGACTGGCGCTGCCCCAGTCGCTGTATCTGCGGTATTCGCCGGGTCTCAGGTAGTAGGTTCTTCCCCTGTAGTTGGGCTGGTCGTAGAGCAGCCAGTGGCCGTCAACCACATTGCACGAGTTAATGTCAGACATATGGAAGCGGTCCTGGACGTTGGCGCAATCGTCGCTCACCTCGTGTATTTGACCGCCCATGTCTGGACGCTCATACAGTTTTATTTTGTAGGAACCACGGTGCTGCAGAAAGAACATTTAAAAGTCAGAAAGTGTATGTTTTGTCTAACTTTACTGTGCTATACAGTAGTACTTTGTGATTGAGAGAATAAAAAGCAGCCCTGAATAGTTCTGAAGCGTAATCCTCACCTACCTATCTGCAGTTTAACAAATAGTTACACCAAGAATGGTTTGCAAAAGCAGTATTGACCAGAAGTGTCTTTTAAGTCACATGGAGTACCAAATGGGAGGAGTTCAACCAAGAGTCATATGGGTGTGGTACCAACTCAGAAGGATGCTTTTGCTTTGGGGAAGTTGAGGATTTATGTTCCAAAAAGTATTGTTGCATTTTAGATTTGACTGACTTGGTTTTCACAATCTTCAAGCAAAGCATATAATGAAATAATTTTCAATTTCATAAAAGGTCTCTATTAATGAGTTTTTTATACTGATTTTGAGTATGAACTGATACATATTAGTACAACTGATAAATGTACTTTGTACATTGTTTTCAGATAGTCTTGCATGCTCTGTTTTTTCTAGTTAAGCATTAAAATAAAAGGTAGTAGGGTCAAATGTTAAGATTCTGTTTTACTCCTTTTTTCTGTTATACTCCTTGATAACACTTAAGTTTGACTGCAAGTATTATAGGTGTTCTTTCCCTGACCTGTTGCTTTTATACCGCAGTAAATCAGTGTCCACACGCATCAGTCCTTTTTTCCTAATTGATTGCGTTGACACCTTTTTCATACCATCTCAGGCTTACCATGGGAATCATGCGGCAGGAGCGGATGCAGTCGTTGATTCCAATCAAGCGCTGGTTGTCACTGTACTCCCCCCTGCGGAGGAAGTACTGGTGGCCCAGATAGTGGGGTCTCTCATACACCATGAAGCAGCCGTTCTCCACCCGGATGGAGTTGCAGCGGTTGAAGTAGGGGTGAAGGTCGGCACAGTCGCTCGTGCACTCATGGTGCCGACCTTGGAAATTTCTGTCCTCGTAGAATATGATCTGCAAATGTTGGCCAAAGCCCTCATTAATTAACAACTCCAACTATATTAAAAAACAGTGGGCTTACACATTTTCATTTTGTATTTTCAGTAGTGACACATAATAAACTCACCTTTCCCATTGTTATATCAGTGGGGGACGAACTGGCGCTCAATAGACGCTCGCTGTGCCGCTGTCCTTTTATATTAAGTAGCTGTGTGATGGCACAGCATAAAGTATTGTCATCCAGATTGGTGTTTATAAAACATGTGTTTATGTATAGCGACGCACTAGTGATGATGAGTTATTGTTGTCCTCTTTTCACATGTTCATCACTATTGATCAAAACACCACAGGGCGCTAGTGACCCAGGGGTCACTGCTCACAGTATCAGCAAAACAACCGGCGTTATCTGTGTCCTTTTCATTCAGAAAGATTCCATAACCGCCCCTGCCCCCACACCATCCCACCATGTATGAGGATATTAACTGTACACAAAAACTTAAGGAGCTGCAAATTATTGCTCTATGGGTTTTTTTTTTCAGATAAAAATAAACAAACTGAATCAAATATTGACAACCAATTAGGGAACTTGTGTAATAATGCTCATCTGGAGACCCCTGGTGGCCACGGGGTACAGAGCAGCTAAATTAGTTGAATTAGTTTAACTAATTTAATCGGTTGATTAATTAGTTAATTAATTGGTTGTGCTTTTGTGCATTATTATCAATATTTTTTACAGTGAACTAATGAAAATAATGTCGTACATGTCAACCACTTTGGAACAGCGGCGAGTTAATCCCAAACTGCTAGCATGAACTGTGTCAAAGTCACATCACTAAATTGACATTGAAATCATTAGACCTTTACTCAAATTTAATGCGAATTTCTATGGAGATGTGCATCACAGCATTTAAGCCATTTTACACACAGAAAAACCCAAATTTTACATTAAACTACCAAAAACAAATAATTGAATGTAAATAAAATAAAGTAACAATAAA